CCAGGTGCCCCAGGGGATCCCGGCATGCCATGCATGCCGGGGATGCCATTTGTCCCTGGTTGTCCACCGTAACACATTGAGACCTGTGTCAGAAAAAGATCAACACCTTGAGTTCAGTGAGGTCCAAGCGATAATAAAGGGACAAGAAGCGTCTTGATGTAACTCTTCGTCAATCTCGCTGGAAACTACTTCAGAAGCAATGATGTTTAGCAGCTATAACATAATCTGTACTATTCTCGTTCTTTTCTTTTTTTTTATCTTCTTCTCTTTACTTTAACTCACACACCATAGAGGGAGCTACTCACTTTGTTATCACTTGGTTTGCTGCTGACATTATTGGCGGTCGCAGATGCCTGGGTTATCAGCACAAAAATCAGTAGAAACAACATGATCGGCGGGCTCTTTATACGAGGTTCTTTTTGTTATCGTTTAGCCTGGCCTGTAGAAATAAATGTCAGAAAAGTAAAACAATAATGGTCATGGTGACACTCACAGTACCTTATAGAAATCTTTGAGAAACTGAGTCACTGTTTTTCTACTTTTTCTTTTCTGCTCGTTTTATAGCAAAATCATTGCTTGAAAAATAGCTTCAGAGAAATGTTTCTACTCTCGCTGAGGCTATGGAAATGAATGGAGTTCTTGATGTGATCGCCAATAACAAAATAAATTAAAACTGCGACATTTACATTTTATATTATTGGTTTTTATGCGACTAGAGGTGCTGAGTACTATAGGTAGTGGCTGTCGAGAACTTCTATGGCTGTTATGAGCGTTCATTTTGATCCCACGTTGCTTTTCTTTCGACTATCTATCCGAGACTTTGCAACAACAGAAAGTGAAAATTACGCTACAAAGAAATGTTTCTTCGTATCAGTTTAAGTTTAAACCCAGGCAAGGCAAAACAATGGCTGTACAACTCAGTCAATAAAAAGCCTACCTTTCACTGTGCCAGCAATCATCTGAATGAAAATGATACTGCTATCAGTGTATCATTTTATCTTGTTATTCGGCGATGGAGATACATGTTGAAAACACGTTTACTAGGTAATTATGTGAGCACTCTCATTGGTCAGATCACTTATAAATTGATCAATGACGCGGAGTCTGACATTAACGTCAATTTGTTTTGTGCTGACAAGTTTCGCGTTAAATCATGTTTTAGAGCTGTGTACGTGTTGTGGACAAAAAATCATTACGAAAATGCAAAATACGCCACGACAACGAGTCAACTTCTCCATTTTTTAGTAACAGGCTCCTTGAAAATGCATTTAAAAATGATTTAAACTTTTGTCTAGAACGTTTTCAAATAAGGATAACGGCAGTAATACGTTTGATGAGCAGATGGCGATAATCTGGGCCTGAGTGAAGTTTAGAAGTTTTTGTTTCAATTCTTGTTTTAAGACGCCACGACCTTTTCTCGAATTTATGGCACTTGAACAGATGTAACAAAGTCTTAGAACCTTCTTTAAGTCATTTATATAGTTTTACAATGTAGCTGTTACACCGTCAGCTCATACGGCAGTCTCTTCTTGTCGGGTTACTGCCTGTGATATATCTGAAAAAGCATGCCGATACTGCAAAGAAGTTCTTATCCAACGTTTACAAACTGACAAGTTACGAAAAAGCTTTCATTTTTATCCATTTACGTTTTCTTTTCTTAAGGATCCTTTTTGAATTAAAAAATCAACAGCATTGATGGTAAGAGCGTCTACTGAATTATCCAGAAAACGATTTATTTGATATAACTTACTTTCTAAAAATTAGAACCGCAACAACAAAAAATACGGTTATCTATGCTAACATTTTTGAAAGAAAACGCGACTTCAGTGGGACAGACTTAATACACAGATACTCTTTTGCGCAAAAGGCATATCGTCCAACAAACATATTGATGAGTCAACGACAGAACTGATGTCGTTTCACCTTGAAATCTAAGTAGCGTCAATGATGAGATTTTAATCCCATTTTGTATCATTATCAAGAAGAGCTGATACTAAGCTGATGAGCGCAATTGCAAAATGTAGTCTCATTTAAAACCTTTTCAGTTTGTTCCATCTTAGTTTGTAGATTGTTTGTTCCGCCAAGACGAAAGCTGGAAGACACTGATAATTTATATTATGCTGGTTTTAGAGAAAAAAAAGTTTTACAAAAATTGCTCTGGCGGGACGCGCAATGAACGAAATCACTTACCTTTGAAGTAACTCAGTTCCGGTGTCGTCTGAATGGAACTGAAAAAGCTAAACAGGGAAGAGAAGAAGGAGTGTTAGATTGAACAATGTTAAAACAAGGAAAGAGTCCAAAAAATAATCAACTTACATTTTAAGCTCATACAGTCCTTTCTCCTCGCCGTTCAGAACACGAATGAACTCTTTGTTTGCTAGTCAGGCATATTGAACTTTGTTGCTTTGTTTGTCGGTGTGAGGTTCGCGTAAAAACAAGTTTGTGAAACAGCGTACATAGTAAAATTCTAATTTTCATTTTCACAAGCAAAGCTATTCGCTAAAACTGTTTGCTTTCTGCTATTTGTCCAATGAAAAGACGTGTTATATTTTTACATTTGCTCAGTCTGTTTATTTCCTCATAGTTTTTTTCTTTTTTCACGAATGAGTGCTAGTCAGCCATTGTTTCTGATTTCTTTTTTTAGGATAAAATTCCACACTAATTTTTCAGCCAAAAGGCAACTTAACTACAATGAAAAAAATTCGGACGATAAAGAAAGAAGAATATTTGTTTTTACACTCGGATGTCGAGTCCTTGATAATAAATGGTTTAAACACGTGCCCCTGTGATGGAACAAAGTCCAAATGCAGACTCTGGATAATATCCTAATTCCTTCTGTCTGTCGTACGTCTGTCTTAATCTCTAAAATGAAATAAATAAAACCTAGCAACCCGGCCCTCTACTTTTGCTCCTGTTCAAATGATCAATTCAACCTATATTGTGCATTACCACGAAACCTGTTAACGGTAAGGTAGCGAACAACGGAAAACAATTTTTCCCTTTATAGCAATAAATAACATAACCACTCTAAAGAGATTGAAAGAGAGTCTTAATAAACACTTAAAATAAGTCTTATTTGTGAACATGACTTTACTTTTATTAAAAATATTAATGTTGAAAATCTCACCGCTAAATTCTCTGTCAATTGATTTACCCAAAGTGCTGTGTGTGAATTAAGTGATCTAATTTTCCAGTATGTCTACCCTGACTACAGTTTAAGGTGTGCGCGTATAAATATTTTTTTTTCCTTTTCTTTAAATCTGCAAAATTGGTGCATGCTTCTCAGTTAACACTAGATCATTTACCTTTGAATAAACTCAGCCTCTTGTGTCGTCTGAGCGAGTTCACAAAGCTAAACAGTAGAACAGAAAAATGAACATAAGATTTTACATTAAAATCGGTTGAAAAGAAAGAGTTCTAAAATGAAAATTTAAACTTACGTTGTTAAGTTCTCCAAGCTAGAAAAAATTCTCAGCAAGTTTGCTTTCCTTGACTTACTGACCACACTGTTTGTTGCTTTCTTTGTTTGTTTAGGAAAATTTTCGTCAGAACAAGTTTGTGAAACAACGGATATTATTATGTACATTTTTATTTATCTTTCTAACACGCGATGTTATTCGCTATCTATGTAGAACGGTTTGTGTAGCCGTGGATTTGTCCAATAGGATGGAGGTTATTATTCTGTCACCTTTGATCCTGCTGTAATGTAATATCAAAAAAACCAAAGCCGTGAGTCACTTGTTGTCTTTTTGTAACGATAAGTAAAAAATAATTGAATCTTTGTTTAAAGTAAATCCCTGCTCAAAAATCAGGATTCGCTCAGAAAGGCAACACATTCCATCCTTACGAATACTTATACTTTTAAATGTGTTAGCCCCAGTTGCAACAAAACTTGAGGTTACGAAGATTATCTAATTATCCGCTCTCTTAGGCTACAGTGCAAATCTACTGTGGCCCTTAAAGGCATAAAAATTACTTATGGAATAATTGCACTTGATTTAGATTTGAAAACAGATCTGCTGACTAAAAACTGAACACCAATCAGTGAAACATCGAATCACCTCATTACACTGTACATGAGGAAATCAACCACCTTGGGAAGTAGAACACAGTTCTGTTCTAATTTTCTTGCAAATTTATACTTTTCCTAAGTATCATGCAGCAGGAATATTGGCACAAAATTCAGTGCAATCTAGCAAACCGCGAAACTCGCTAGAAGTCACCCGTGACTATTAATATCTTTCGAAAATGCCTGTTTTGTTGCAAATATCTCTATTAATGCGTTTCGCGTCAAATTTGAAACGAATGAAAACAGAAAGCATTTACAAGCTTCCCTACTGAATTTGATAAGACAAATCTGGTGCAGAGAGCACAAAATTCTGCCAAAGAATAGATTTCTCAGTCTTAGTGGCTTTCAAACTGAGAAAAATTATAACCTGTATCACAGCGCACGTTAGGGCACAGGTCTTCGTTTGCTTGAATCGAGGAAGAGACTCGATCAGACTTACAGATGAAAACCAAAATGAGGTAAACAAAGGCTGTTGTTTAGCAATATCAACATCTGCTGTAATTGAGCAGATTCCCGGCTTTTGTGGAAAATTTGTTATGTTATCATTGAAGAATAGTGATTTCCTACATTGTAAAGTGTAATAAATGCAGAAGTAAGAGCCAGAAAACGTTGATTTATCCTCGATTACCCCGACAGCATAATAGTGTTTGCATTCACTATAAACATTTTACATTGGAACATGTTGTGGAATAGCTTGAATAATTTTAGGGTCAACTGAACAATGTAAGTGCCAAGCTTCCGTTCAGTTGGCTTCAAACGAGAATACCTGGACTCCAAGAAAGACTGGAAACATAGCAGTTATGAATCAATCGAAATTGGTTTGTTATTTTCCATATTTAACTGCCTGACTCTGTCTTAATATCAAAAAAAACTAGAGGCTCACGATCACTTGTTTTGAATGGGAGGAAAACTCTCGCTAAAAGCAGTCAATTTACAAACGGAAAACAAGACCAAAAACGAAGCGAAACGCGGCTGACATGTAGAAAACGAAATTTGACACATGAAGAAATGCATATAAAGATTCAGCGTCTTTTGTTAGTGTCTAAAATCGTTCTTTTGGTTCGGTGTTAAAGACGAATTGAATTATGAATTGTTTGAACGCACGCTCGCCTAGTTAACATTAACTGACCAAGAGAAGACATGGAAAGGCACTTAAACGGAAAATAAACGAGCGACACCGATCATACCTGCAAACACTTCCTGAAGTCCTTGTGTTTTGATATGGATACATCGAAACGCGCGCCTGAAAACATTTTCTTCATATTGAAACCTCAAAATAGAATTTTGTCTCTACCAGTTCGCATTGAACACGAATCCATTGTTTTGAATAACTTCAGTTCATTACTGACACTTCTGGCAAAATAGTTTGCGATAATTTTTCCCTTAATCCAATGAAAGATGTGTGTTTTGGCTTTGTGTCGTTTGTTAACTTCAAAACGTCAAGTTATTTGAATATCGCCGAGACTAGTTAACAATAATCAACAATGAAATTTGTTTACTTTAACCATTTCCGATCTTACACTTTATAATTATGCAGTTTCAGCTATTTGTTTTGTGCATTTGTAATCGTAAATACTGAAATTAAACAAAATAACGGCTTCCGCCAGAATAACGTCACAATTTAGGCGCCGGAAGGGTTTGATACTTTATCAAAGCAAACACACAACAGAAAAAAAAAAGTTCTATCAAAGAGGAGGAAAAAAGGTCCCTTGGATGTATGATTCTACGACTATCACCCAGATGCATGTAACGATTTGCGGGAGGACCTAATTTCGGTGAGTAGAGCTGAAAATATTAATCCCAAAGACTGCGCTCTAGTGGTATTTAAAAAAAAAATGAAAGTCATCAGGTTCAGAAGCGAAACAACATTCTGAAAGGTATTACTTTTGTGTTTTCTTTGATATGGATACATAGAATTCTGTTCGCGATTAAAAAACTTCGTTTTGGTTTTATGATTTCTAATTAATAAATATAGTTGATGAGGCCGAAAGCCGAATCGAATACACGTCTTAGAATTCTAACTAAATTTTCTTCAATTAACGATTACCAAAGGGCATTTCGGAACGTAGTATTAATCTCAAGCTTTAGCAAAATCACGCGGACTGAATTGCTATTGAAACTTGCAGTTGTGCAAGGGCACTTGTCAGTTCATTGGAAAATTTTGAGGTTTTAATTGGCATAACGGTCAATTCCCTTTCTTTAATGTTCTTTGGAACTGAATTATGCCGTAATATGTTTTGAAATCGTTTTCAAAACTTCAGAGAATCCAGATGTCGATGGCTTCCAGCCACTGCACAATCCTTAAACTTTCGAAAAAAAATAGGGTGTTTCTGTCGAAGATCTATCGGCTGATAGTTGCCCCTCTGAATATTTTCTCGAGAAGCGATGCTAATTTTAAAAACATCAAATTTCCACGACAGAAACACTCCTTTAAATAGTGTCTCTCCGCCACTGAACACTATCGCATTACTTAATCAATTTAAACCAATAAGAATGCGGGGAAAATATGTATACTTATCTCTCTTTCTTACTAAGGTTCTTGAAATTAGAAAGCGATTCGGCTTATTTAATTGTTTATGGTAATCCATTTGAAATGTAAGAAATCATTATGATTATTCCTTAACCGTTATACTAAAAACTCAGCTGAATAAAGCTGTATTGATTAATGGCACCTTACGTAATTGTTAATAACTTCAGAAGAGAAAACAAGGACTTGGGAATCAAACAAATGTGTCTGCAGAATGAAAGGGAGAGGAATCTTGGTTCGCGCAACAGCTTACGTCATCACCTTTGTTTACTGCTCGCACAAAGAGTTTTACACGCGAGTCAGGCAAAGAATGTCAAGCTAGTTCAAGACAAGTGCATGCTCAATAAGTCAATATTTTAATGCCAAAAACAATGACTAAGTTTTTTCACTCGAACTGATAGACCCTGAGCAAGTTTGTTTTTGGTAAAATTTAGAAAAGTTATCTGGATAAAAATATTATAAAAACGCAAGCTGTCGACCGCCTAAACTGCAGCCTTCAACGACTGAAATGATGCGGTCCTTCTATACTTTGAAGTTTTCGTTTTTCAGTTTGTTAAAGCGCAGCTGTGAGACAACATTCAACATGAGAGAGGGGGACCGGTGAAAGCCTTAAGTATCGATAAGGTTAGTCGGTTTTAAAATGTTTCAACAAGTAAGTGGAGACAATGCAAAGTGTTCAACAACTGTGCTTGCAATGACCCATAAAAAGACATTGAACTCTTAACCTTTTTCGTTTTTGTTTTTTTTTTTTCTCAGGAGCTCTTAACCAACAAACTACACACCAGTTGTTCCCTGGCGTTAATCAGATTTAGTATCCATAGATACCTCCTATCGTAGTCCAAGCATGCAAGGAGTTTGGTCTGAGATATAATTACAAGGATACAATGTTTGAGGCGTTTAGTGCTCATTTCTCACATCTTAAGACGCTGGGACAAGAGAGAGAGAAGCCTGTTGTCACCATGCCAGACCTGAGGTGTGGAAGGGTTGAAGCCCTGCCAGCACTCCGGGGGCAGGGGTGAGTAACACATTTTTTGGGGGTGAATTTTACTGACACCACAATTTTTATTAACTAAGATGCCAAGCTACGTGTCGTAATTTGATGTTTAACTGTTGACGTGACATCGTTTTACCAATATCACGCGATCTTTGCTGACGTCCCTGTTTACATTGTACCTCATCAGCCTACGACTTCGCGTATTCTTTGCGTATTAGATCTGAATTGACTCCACAGTTAAAGAGCTTGTGAAACTTAGTACATGGTAAGGTTTTAGCTCTTTGGGTTTTATATTAAACTTGAGATATGGGCTTTCAAAATGTCAGAATATCTTGCTGAGAAAAGCGCTAATGAGCCCATACAGTCCATTTTTTTTTACATTTTGAGCTTTTTAACCCGCGTGGCACAAAAAGTATATGCACATCAATCTCCAATTCTTCGCGCCTGTTAATCATGCTACAAACTTTGAATACTCAGAACTGACATTTTTGCAGCTTGAAAACTGAATCGCTCATGCTAAAGAGGCAAATATTGTAATGAAAGATTCCCCTTTTCACAGGTGCTCTTCTTATATTTTTGGATTAATGAAAAAGAATCGGAAACTCTTCGAATGTTCACTAAGATTTACCGAAAAGGAGTTTGTCTCCCTGTTCAACACAATCCGTTCAATTATTACTTGTCTGTCAGGAGAGGATGCTCTATTGAGCTTCGATCAATAATATTTTGTTGAAATCTATTATTATAACATAGCACGCGCGCTGGTTCTACCTAATTCCTATTGAGTTATCACAAACGAAATCTCTTTGAGCGCACGGCCGTGCGTATACATGTATAACATGGCGTGTGCAGTTTCAGTTTAGCTGCGAAATTTGCGTCAAGTTTAGTGCAAGTTCCTTTTGTTTAAGTTTCGGCAATATGAAGATTCTTTTGAACAATCCAAACTCTACTTGGAACCTTTGACTTTTGCCAAGCTAAGATGTTTACTTAAACCTGAGTATTTTGACTTTGTTTATCTACATTTTCATTAAGTATTTTTGACTTTGTTTGCCTGCTCTTTCATTATAATTAATTCGAAGAAGTTAATTTTTCATTGACAATTTTGAAACCAGATTAAGCGTTTTCGTTCAACTGTTGCTCAACTGGTGGGGCGTGTTAGGATCCTAATGACCTTTGTTTTCGTCCACCGTGCTTTGTGAGAACTTTGTAATCATCACAAATAAAACATGTTATGTTAGCGCCCAAGTTGCTGTCGCCATGTTACAAAAAAATTGGTTTATGCGTTTAGCTGTGCGTATATCGAGTTATGGATGCACTTGGAAAGTTTGAAGAGCACTCAAGAAGCTAGAGTTCACGCTTTCGGCTATCGTCTCCAGCAACTCTTGCGCTTCTTTCGTGTTCTTCAAACTTCCCACCTGCATCCATAACTCGATATACGCACGCTAAGCAAGAACCAACCGTCTTTAACGGGTATTTTAAGAAAGATGCCTTATTCGTCAAACGTTTTCACGTGTTACTGCAGATACCGTGCACAAAACTTCTGTTTGAGGAACTAACCAATAAAAACGTCTGGGTTAGGTAATTCATACAGAGTTTACAAGCCCAAAACAATTAACATCAATTTCAATCAATCGATCAATCAATTTCATCATCCTAACATCGATTTGGGCATCTTTCAGCTGCGCTCTTTTGAAGTTTACTGTGCTTAATAACCATTTCCTCTATCAATACAGTGTCAGCTTAACATGGGGTCCTCTATATTAAGTTTTCACTATTGTAATAAATTTTCTTATTATAAGCCTATTAGGTCACAACGCCTCCAACTTGCGATCTGTGGTGTGATTTTCCTGTTCGATTCTCGAAGGAGGCTTGTGTTTGTATCTATTCACAACAGTGATTTAGCATAGCGAGCGTATCATTTAGTGCACAGATATCTAAGAACTGCTTTGGGTTTGCTAAATTAAAATAAACGTGAAGATGGAGAACTGGAGTATCTAAACTTGGCGGCAGTTTGAAAGTACTTGTAAGTATTTTAGACTTGGCGTGTTTATGTATATGTACACATAAACTCTGATCCTTAGTTTCTTTCTGGTAGAAAGAAAAATTTCGACGCGTCTTATTTCCAATAAGGTGTAAACTTGGTTGTGTCTCATTAAGACTTTCATTTTAAGGGGGCACCCCCCTTCTATGATCATCATAATAATATTTAGTAGAATTCTATCACTATACTAATGCAAATGCTGCAATCCTCCTGGTTGAGCTACTCGTACACTATCAACCATTATAGTTCGCCACTAAATTTTCTCCAATTCTTATTGGTTTAAATTGACGCGATAGTGTTTATCCGCGGAGAGACACTATTAACCCATAGTGCCCGTCCGAGGAAAATATCCAGATGGATAGTACTCGTCTGTGATAATTTTTCTGTAAACAAGCGGGGTTATAGAAAATAAACATTTGAAATTGTATCAAGTAGGTTTTTGTCTATTTTCTCTTTCAAATTTAAATTTGGCTGTCACGGCTTTCATCTAAAAAAGTTGAAAGTAATTCAATATGATTTTTGAACTGGAAACTTGATGTTCTTAAACCTGGCATATTTGCCCCCAAATATTTGTTTTAAGAAAATCAAATTTCCGCGGGGCAACTATCAGCCGATAGTTCCTCGACAGAAACATTCTATTGTTTAAATAGTTGATTCGGCCTTCGGCCTAATT